CCGGCGGAAGCACATCCCCACCACCTCCCCACCGAGCCGGCCGAAGCACCTTCCCACCACCTCCCCACCGAGCCTACCGAAGCACCTCCCCACCGAGCCTACCGAAGCACCTCCCCACCACCTCCCCACCGAGCCGGCAGAAGCACCTCCCCACCACCTCCCCACCGAGCCGGCAGAAGCACATCCCCACCACCTCCCCGCCGAGCCCGTGTCGGGCGGCTGCCTACCAGCCGAGGGCCTGTCCTTTGGAATATGGAATATTTTTTCTCTTCCTTTTTTGTTTTTGTGTTGGTTTGACGTTTGCATGCTTGTGGAGGTGATGTTTGTAGATGTCTTTGGGCATCCGGATCTTTGTTCTAACCCTTTGGTTGGCTGAAGGAACGGTACGAACCTTGGTCGCGAACGGGCGGGCGGATCCCAGAAGATCGGAGTTTTTTTGTGTACAAGGCAGTGGTTGCAAGGGAGACAAGAGAGCGTCGGAACGGGCCTTGATCGGACCTGAAACGAAGAACCAGTGAAGGCGCTAGACCTCGGCTGCGAGTGACCACCGGGCTACCGCGGGTGCACGTGGCGGGATTTGCTTGCGCTGCGGTACCGAAAGATCGGGAGGGATGCTACGGCCATGGCCATGCAAAACGGGGACGCTATTCTGATACGGCGACCGCCAAAATCATACGAAGGGGCCTGGGCGTGTCGGCTGTACAAAGGGGCCGGTCGGGCAGACGGGAGCCAGCAGCAAACGGCTCGGGGCCTCCACATGAAGATCGCTGAGAAAAGAGAGAATGGTGATCTAGGACAGCGCTAACAGCCGAAGAAGGGGGCAAGACGACACAAGGAGGCACCGGCGGAATCCTCGAGCCGCTGACTCCACCAGGGTGCTCAGCTGAGAATCGGAGGTAAGTTGGGGAACCCTATTGGCATATGGGAGAAGTGGAAGGTGGCTTTGCGTGTCGACAAAACGCCGATGGGGAGCGGGATCCAAGGCAAGAGGAGGTGGACTGGCGAGGAAAGGGCCAGGAGGATCGAAAGAGAAGGGAGAGGGTAGACGAGGCCTGATCGGAAGGGATAACCGCTACTGGCAACTGCCAGAGCCGCTGTAGAAACAAGCATCGAGGAGACAGGCAGGCAAAGCAAGGAAGGAGGAACGTCAACCGACCGGTTGCCTGGTGGAGGAAAGAGTGGGGCGCGTCTTCCAATCAGAAAGGAAAGGGAAACGACATTGGGGATTGGAAGAGAAGGAGGAGAGGAGGATCGAAGGGGTCCTGAGTGGGCCCCGTGGAAGGAGAAAGAAAGAAGCAAGGGGCATTCTGAGGATTGGGAGGGGGAGGAGCTGGGGAGGCTGTGAGAAAAGGTAGGGAGGGCCATGTCCTGCAACAGAAGGTACCCGGACCAGGGGAGCGGCCAGAGCCGTTGGTCGAAACAGGCCCAGAGAAAACAAGAGGGAGGAGAAACGACGTCCGACTGTTCGCCTGGGCGGGAGCGGACAGATGCACGGATGGTCTGCAGACGGGTCATCAAGGTCGGGGGTCCGGCCCATATTGGCGATCGATCTGACTTCAAGAAGAGGGGCGAATGCTATGAGAGGGATCCAACGACAAGAGAAAGCGCGAATCCTATTGGAAGTTGAGAGAATTGCGATGGATCA